AAAATATAAGCAACTAGAATAAGCTATATGGCCACCTGGATCGCCTTTTCGCCTTGGCACGGGATCCAGGCGATCTTCACCCTCGCCGAATTCCCAGTTGCCTCAAACAACGACCATCACGTCGTCAACACGCTTGCCAGAGCTGGCAAGCATGGTCACTAAATGATGATCGGTGTCCTTGGCCCTAAGAAAATAGCATCCTAGACGGCCAATGGACTTGGCTAAAACATAGCAATGCCGAATCGCTGCCTAGGTTAATCCTAAGACGACGATTTAACTCTATGATCCCCATTACGATGCGAAAGAAATTCACGTTAGGCTGGGAAGGGATTAGGCCCCAATGTCAAAAGACGGATCTCAAAAACGGATGAAGGGGAAAACGGACGCCGCCTTCAACAATCGATAGGAGAGGAAAAATGATTGTGCTCTCGTCGGTCCTCTGCATATCGTTGGTGCTATCTACCACGAGTGACAAGTGCGCCATCAAGGATGGAACAATGGCGTCGGAAGCCGAAATCCAGTCCAGAGAGAGAAGTGTTTTCAAATTTCTTGCCATCATATTCAGCCTAAGGGTTATGCAAAACTAACAGTAAACAAGAAAATGGTATTAGGAGTGAAAGAGAAGAGAACTTACAGGGAGCGGAAAGGATAATGAGAGACAGAAGAGAGCTGCAGAGGTCGCGAGATGAAGGAGTTGTACTAGAAGGCAAACCAAAAAATCTTTAGTATTTAAAGTATACATTCGAAGAGACAAAGTTTTAAACCACATTAAATGGAGGAAGTGTACGAAGAGGCAGGAACTTGTAATGATGACTAGAAAACGTGTGCGTTCTGACATGCTTTGGAATGAGGTTAACCGCTGAATTTTTGACTTTTCAAGATCGAAACCAAACACGCCGACTAAACAGAGTTAGTGGGGTGTTCGGGGGGCAATTGTGGTGGCCGAATAATTTGCAGACGCGGATAGGCAATGTATAAATTCCCAATCGGTGTATAGTATGCATTCAGCCCCGCCCCTGCCGTTTCAAATGCCGAATAAGCCGAGTAGGGGGTCGATTAAATGAGGAGGGCCGAGTGAGTAAGTACATGATAGATCAAGAGCTGGCCCTACCTAGAAGATCAGGAGCGTATATAAATAGAAAAACAACAACCAAAGAGAGGTATGTGAGAATTAGTATGCTTAACTTAAGACACAAGCAATCTAGAGAGTATACACTAACTTATTCGTCGAAGTGCTAATTCTGACACCCCTGACCAAAGTGTTCATTCCTTTTCAGGTGACTAACTGAAGATCACGAGCGTCCCCCAGGATTTGAAGAGTATTTCCAAACCACTTCTTCACAATGAGCAACAAAATCAGCAGATCCGATCAACGGACATGGAGATCGGTGGAGGACATCAGTGACAGAAGGTCTTCCATGGCTGACTTGAACAAGGGCTATTCATCATCATCATCATCATCAAAGGCTGATTTGTGAAGCACTAGTGTATAGATCAAGAACAAGAACCACTCACTATTCACTTAATCAAAAGATTTCTAAAATGAAGTAGAGTCTCAACTCAAAATCAAAGCATTGTCCCTTCTCTTGTCTGGTCCCTTCTCTCTCTCTCTAACTCTCCCATGAACTAGTGAAAGAGAACCCAGAAAGTTGATTTCTATTTATTTTTTTTTAATTTTTTTTTAAATTACTAACCAAAACGACGTCGTTTTGGTTAGTTTTATTTTGAACCGTTGGATCACTCACTTCAGGGATCACTTCAGAGAATCCCACTCTAGAGGATCCTGATACTGCACTACCATCTCCATTAGTCACCATCAACAACCATCCCAACCACCAGCAAAGTCTCCCTCTACTGCCCCATTACTGTGAAACACCTCATCTGCCAAATCACCCCCTTTCAACCACAGCAAACCCACCTTTCTGCAAACCTCTCCGTTTGTCAAATCAATTTTACTCTCCACCACAAATCAAAGAAAAAGAAAATAGGGAAGATAAAGTGAATGGGTCAGAGGAAAGGGGGAAAGGAGAGGAAGGAGATCGACTGAGATTGCCTTTGCCATTGTCATTGAAGATCTTTGCCTCTGCTGGAAGGATAGATTGCTACTTCTTCATCGCCATTGTTGCGCCGTGCTCCTCCTTTGTTGCATTCATCCTCAACACCCCTTCTTCATTGCCTAAAGCCCCCTTCCCCTTCGCCTTCCCTTATGCCCACCAACTGCTTCCTCTATCTATCTTTTTATATATATAATATTAGTTTTGAGCAAGTTAATTAAGTGTAACAGGTTCTAAATGCAACTCATTATACCCCTAAATGAAATTACCAAAAATCCTTAAACCATACAACCATCTTCTACCCTGGCTAGTTGGTGCTCCAACTCCCCTCCCCACCCTCTCCAACTCCACCCGTCACCCCCTAGTCGCTCCCCACGCTCCATGCCCCCTCTCCACCCCACTCCGGCGATCGGCCCATCCTTTTTTCCTCACCTAGATGTCATTGCCGCCAGCTACACCTACCCTAGAGCTCTTCCCTGTCTTTGCTCACTTCCCCTTCATTTGAAATTGTAGAGCACGGTCACCAAAAAAATGATGGTGGTTCAGATGTATACCACTAAACAAATAGTGGTGGTTAGGACACAAACCACCAAACCAAATTTATGGAGATCGCATTGGGTGGCGGCAGTCATGTCAGCTGGTGGGGAAGGAAATTGAGAGGGAATGTGGGGTTTAGGGGTATCGTTTGACGGGTAAGGAAAGGAGCTAGTGTCGGGCTGCAGGAAGGGAAAGGGAGGCCGTTGCACACTGTGGGAAGGGACGGGGAGATGTTGCTGGAGATGATGGGGCGATGGTGGTGGTGTGGAGAGGTTGGGATGGATGGGGGTAAAGTTGGTGTTAACTGGGGTGCTCAAAGAAAAAGAACAAAATTTGAATTCAGGAATTAGCATGCTCAAAGAAATGAGATGTCCAACCACAAATTTGAGGTGCATTTAGAGATACCGAAGCGTAACTCACAAAATTGGATGGGGTATGGGCGAATGGACTATTTTACCCTTGAAAACATGACGTGTGTTGTTCACGTGTGAAATTTCAGTGAAATTAATGGCCATTTTCAATTGGACTTAATTGACAAAAAACTTGAAAGTAAGGTGCAAAATCAATTGAATTGAAATTACATGACCAAAATGACACAAGGGGTAAAGTATAAGAACTATTAGTGCAATTTTTCGTTATTTTTATGTATACATCAAAAGTGCAGAATGAATTGGACTTGGTACATGTGTGTAGTTCATGATATTTACCCAGAAGGATATTCATAGTGTGATCAACATGATATTAGACACTTCATATTATTAGTCCACATGTTAACATAATTTATCTTAAAGGAAATATTTGATCTAAATTTTGTTCACATATTTTTGTTGTGCGTCATTAAGGATTTGCCATGTTGGCGTAGTTATATTTTGTCGTTATGAACGCCACATTAGAATATAATCATACTTTGGGCAACGCTAAATCTTGTATTTCATCCTTAAAAACTTTTCATTTTTTAATTATAAATGTAATTAAACTTTCTGTCGGTGCTATATCTTTTGTCAAACCCCCTATGCAGATACATGATTTTGGAATCTTGGTAAGCTATGAAGCACAGACACTGCAAAACAAGTGTCATATCCGTGTCGGATACACAAACATGTCGAGTTATGGGACACACCACATGGCCTGTCCTCTTATTTAATTAATTTATTTTCAAGCGACACGCCAGGGACACTTCGAGAACACACTAGGGACATTTCAATTTGTTTTTTTTCCATTTTATTTAGTGCTTTTTGATAAATGTTGAATGTTTATTATTTTTTTCTTAAGATTTAAATACTTAATAGATCATCCATAAAAAAAGATATAAACTGTAAGTGTTAATTTAAAAGTACTTTTTAAAAAATAAAATAAAAATAGAATTAGAGTTAGTTTTTGTTAATATTGATTGTTTGTGGATGTAATATCAATCTAGATAAAATATATATATATATATATATATATGAAAGCATATTTTATTGCCGTGTCCCCGCCTTCCACATCCCCATTTTTTGAACTCGCCTTGTCCCATGTCTGCATTCGTGTCTGTGTCCACATCCATATCCGTAGTTGTGCTTCTTAGTTGGTAAGATCCAGTTTCAGTCTCTTGAAAGCTCTCTTTTTCAATTTCCTCTCAGCACTGGTGGCACTAGCAAGAACAACATTGGTTAATATTGTTTTAGTATGGCAAGTTGAATCTTATTTTTTAATCCCAAAACTAATTGAAGAATAAATAATCACCTTTTACTGTTATTGTCACATATGCTTTAGTCATGGGTCAAGATCAAGGACGATCATCTTTGATTGAGGTAAAAAATCTTGAAGAAATTATCTGAGCATGCTCATTTTGATGCTGAGGGTATCATATGCATTAGCAGTAGTAAGAATCCCAATATGTTTTTGTTGTTTTTATTTTTGTTTTTGTTTCTAGGATTCACGGCGGGCAGGCTCATGTACATTGCAGTTGCCAAAGTGCTGGCAGAACTGAACAATGGCAGCAGCTCAACAATAAAAAGTATTGTACTCTAATTAACCTCACTGATATCTGGAATGGCCGTCACACTTTTTATATCCCTTGTTGAATGAATATAAAACACCTAATATGTGTTTAGTAGTTTTTAAGATCAATGTAATCCAAGTTGTATAACATTACTCATTTGTAATCAAGATCACAATGATGAAAATTCTGTTTTTAAATCAAGAGACCATAATACACGGCATCACTCTATACAAAAAAAATTGTACAATTTTTCTTTCTGTATATCTCCACCACTCAAAACTATTAATGCATGGTGAATAAGTGATGTATCATGCATGCAACCTATATGACAAATAAAAGATACATTGTCAACTCAAATGCTCTGTTCCTCCCAGTTGAAGTGGCTGGCCAGCCATGCCAAACACCTAAATCTGCTTAAACCATTTGAATTTAAAGTCACAAACTCTACTCCATTTTTATATTTTGACAATAAGCAAGACAGAATAATACTCCAACAATTTCCTAGTAAACAGTAGTTATATATTTTTTTGGGTTAATTCAGTAGTTAGATATTACAAACAAGCACTCACACACAGTTATATTACATAAAAAGCACACTTAACTAGCAATTTCTAGCGCAATCAAACACTCAATCTCTAATTGGTACATTTTCTCTGATAGCACCTTTGAAAACACCATTTCTGTTTGATTCAGAACAAGGGAGGGAAGCCATAAGCAAGACAATCTTCATCCCTGAAACATGTTATCAAATTGGTTTTACATTTTTAGCCAAAGGATATGCAAGTACTACCAAAAACAATGAAATTCCACTTGAGAAAATTAAAATTCACTGTGAAGTTGCATTCCTTATTAATCTTCCTATGTGAAATCTTAAAAGAAAAAAAAAAGTTCAGAAAATAAAAAGAAAAAGAACATGACAAAAAATAGAAACATCACAATAGACATAACATTATAAGATGTTTCAATGCGGTAGCTCACAGGTTAGTCCAAAGTTTTCCACTAGTTAGATCAAGATCTTTGGCAAGTTGTTACCCATGCGGAATACCTAATCAGGATGAGTGAGACACGAAAATAGAAAGGGATAAAACAGGAATTATAAATTATACATACACACAAGAACACAAGATTCAAAGTGGTTCATCCCAAAATTAGCATACGTCCACAATGATTGCGGTTGTGCAATGATTAGAAAAAATACAACCAATATACAGAGAACTATGTATTCATAGTCCAAAGTTTTCCACTAGTTAGATCAAGATCTTTGGCAAGTTGTTACCCATGCGGAATACCTAATCAGGATGAGTGAGACGCGAAAATAGAAAGGAATAAAATAGGAATTATAAATTATACATACACACAAGAACACAAGATTGAAAGTGGTTCATCCCAAAATTAGCATACGTCCACAATGATTGCGGTTGTGCAATGATTAGAAAAAATACAACCAACATACAGAGAACTATGTATTCATAGTTGGATCTACGGTCGAGTGGCAAATATTCAGTACTTATCATATCAACACTTCTCAACAAAGATTGGGTAACAAGCTAAGGATCAACATCTCCTCCCACTCTCTCGATTTTTCTCAAGGTTGAGCTCTTAAACACCCATTTGGTAATGTTTATGTTTTAATCTTTTGTTTATGTTTTACAAATATTTTGAAAACAGGAAACAAAAACTTGTTTTGTGTCTCATTTTTGTTTCCAAAAAATGGAAATAATTTTGAAATTTTACCAAATTATACGAGAAAAAAAAAAGGTATTGTTCTTAATACAAATAGCCAACACAAAATTGATAAAGGGGTACCACTCATTTTTTCCGAATATTATATTTTAGCAAATGCATTAGAAGAAGAGATTCAGTATGTTGTTTAAACATCAACTTCGTTTGAGCACAGTTATCCCAGCCCTATGCTCACTTGATATACTCAAATCAGTATATCCATCATAGGAGGAAAATTACTGATTAGATCTGAAGATGGTAGGTCTTGACCTGACAATTTGCATTGTGTGTACACTCAGGCAAGGTTGGCTCAACTCGTGAAATTGGTGCCCAAGCTCTTCAGTGGCTAAGCTCAATAGGTTTTTTTCTAGTGGGCCACGCCATGCCAGAGCCAAAAATTTTAGGCCCACGCCCTGAAGAGCTAGTGAGGTGCCTAACACTAACAATCTTTTTTAAAAAAAAAAAAAAAAACGTTTTTCCTATTTTTTGCTTGTGGGTCGAACAAATGGGCTGATTGATCACCTCTCAAGGGCTAACTAGTCAATCTACAACACCTAGACCCAGTCTCAACCCAAGCACTTTTTGAGCTTTGCCAGCCTACCCAAGAATATGGACCTAGCTGGGTCACTGGTCAAATGATGACCCTACGGTAGATTTCGATAGCATCTTAAAAACACAAACTCCTGTTTTTTCTTATTTGTTTTTTAACATGTGTGAGGTTTTTATTCTTGGCAATTCCAATTGACAAAACTCCTTTCAGTTGTACTTGTTTTCACACTTTTTATTTCAGTGAGGCTATGAGTTTTTAGATGCGAATCCAACCCGAATTGTGTCTTACATGCCACTTCGCTGACTATGACGGGGATCGAGCTGCCCAATCAGCTCGCGGGGGTCCAGGGGAAAGCGCCCCTTGGTGGGTCCGGAACAGCGCCACGGTGGGGTTGAGAGGCAGCACCCCCAAAGCAAAATGCAAAATTGCATTCGAAGTTGCTTGTCCGCCCTTGCTCGCTCGAGCGAAGGAGTTCTCGCTCGAGCGAAGGCTGCGTTTGTAAAAAACCTGAGAAGGATGTTTGTACGCTCAAGCGCAGGTAGTTTGGCTCGAGCGAAGCCACTTATCGAAAACACGCGTTTTTGGTTCCTCACTCAAGGGAGAGAGTCTTCGCTCAAGCGAGCTTCACAGTCCCAGATTTCTATAAGTACTTGTTTTAGTCCAAAAACTAGGATTAGGTTTTTGAGATCTTCTTGGATATTAGAGTTTGTATCTGGGGCTATTTTGCTAGTTTTCTTTAATGTTTGATTGAGTATTCAACTCATGGTTTAAAGAGTATACATCAAAGGATTATTTGTTTATTCTATACAAAAGAGAGAGTTGTTCTTCAGTGGATTCTAAAGAATTCGAGCCTGAAACTTTGGTGGATTCTGGAGAGGCTCATCGTCAAAACAATTCCGAGGTAAAGACGGGGCTGGAAGAGACACATAGGGGTTGATTCAATTTGGGCGTGGATTCGCTAGGTAATTAAGAGTATACCTGTGTAATTCCTTTGTCTTTTTAGTAAATTGTTTTGTGGCTTTTGCCCGTGGTTTTTTAATCACAATTGGAGGCGCTCCAATTGTGATTTTTCCACGTTAAAATCGTTGTACCGATTTGTCTTGATTGTTTGATTGGGATTGATATTTAGTGCTTAAAATTGATACATAATCACAAATCAATATTAGGAGATTTCTAGATTTTTCAACATATATCAAAACATACTTATTATGAATAAAACTAATACGGGTAGAAACAAAACAGTGCAATTCAAATTGCAATTGCATCTTGGGAAGTAAAGAAGCTGTTAGACACAAAGAAGAGGTAGGTGCAACATCTTTAGCTCTAGTTATATCATTGTATGAGAATTAAGAGGCAAATGAGGAGGTAAAATAGGAATAGTAAGACTGATACCAACTGGAGAGGAAGAAAAAGGAACAGAGGAAGAAGAGGACATGATCGTTAGCAAGAGGACTAGGATTAGGAGAAACAGAAACATGACTAAGAGAAGAAACAACAACATTATCTACTCCCTCCAAATTCAAACTTTATAATGTATGGCATGTTCCACAAATTTCATCTATTTTGCTTTATGTTCATCAACTCACATCAGATAATGCTTCCACCATTACATTTATTGATAAATCATTTGTTATTTAGGACAAACACAGCAACCAAGTTCTATGTAAAGGTCATCAGCAGAACGGTCTCTATCAGTTTCCTTCCCTCTCATTTTGATCACTATTCAAAGGTTTTTTCTAGTATTAGTTCTCCAGCTGCCACTTGGCATAAAAGACTAGGGCATCCTTCTTCAAATGTTTTTCATCATATAGCTAAAACTTGTGGTTTTTCCATTTCTCATAAAGACTGTTCTTCTTTTTGCAGTCATTGTTGTGTCTCAAAGAGTCACAAACATCCTTTTGTATTGACTAATACTAATTCCAATGTTCCTCTTGCTTTAATTCACTCTGATACCATGAAGAAAATAGAGAGAGAGAGAGAGAGAGAGAGAGAGAGAGAGAGAGAGAGAGTGAAAAGGATATTTTCTATTATTTCATTATGAACTCAACTACACATAGAAGTCTTTGATCAATGTATACATGGAAACAAAACAAAGTATCTCTAGATTAGTTATAGATTCTAACTAACTAAGTTTGTTATAGAGGAGAGGATTGTGTATTACTATCCTACATCCTTATGATAGTTTTATAGGTGTGTTATAGTTGTCATTGCAGCTCTATCTTCAGTAGCCTTAGTTGTGGTTATGGTTCCTGAGGTGATAGTATCTAGGAGCCAGTGTTTTCACACTTTTTATTTCAGTGAGGCTATGAGTTTTTAGATGCGAATCCAACCCGAATTGTGTCTTACATGCCACTTCGCTGACTATGACGGGGATCGAGCTGCCCAATCAGCTCGCGGGGGTCCAGGGAAAAGCGCCCCTTGGTGGGTCTGGAACAGCGCCACGGTGGGGTTGAGAGGCAGCACCCCCAAAGCAAAATGCAAAATTGCATTCGAAGTTGCTTGTCCGCCCTTGCTCGCTAGAGCGAAGGAGTTCTCGCTCGAGCGAAGGCTGCGTTTGTAAAAAACCTGAGAAGGATGTTTGTACGCTCAAGCGCAGGTAGTTTGGCTCGAGCGAAGCCACTTATCGAAAACACGCGTTTTTGGTTCCTCACTCAAGGGAGAGAGTCTTCGCTCAAGCGAGCTTCACAGTCCCAAATTTCTATAAGTACTTGTTTTAGTCCAAAAACTAGGATTAGGTTTTTGAGATCTTCTTGGATATTAGAGTTTGTATCTGGGGCTATTTTGCTAGTTTTCTTTAATGTTTGATTGAGTATTCAACTCATGGTTTAAAGAATATACATCAAAGGATTATTTGTTTATTCTATACAAAAGAGAGAGTTGTTCTTCAGTGGATTCTAAAGAATTCGAGCCTAAAACTTTGGTGGATTCTGGAGAGGCTCATCGTCAAAACAATTCCGAGGTACAGACGGGGCTGGAAGAGACACATAGGGGTTGGTTCAATTTGGGCGTGGATTCGCTAGGTAATTAAGAGTATACCTGTGTAATTCCTTTATGTCTTTTTAGTAAATTGTTTTGTGGCTTTTGCCCGTGGTTTTTTAATCACAATTGGAGGCGCTCCAATTGTGATTTTTCCACGTTAAAATCGTTGTATCGATTTGTCTTGATTGTTTGATTGGGATTGATATTTAGTGCTTAAAATTGATACATAATCACAAATCAATATTAGGAGATTTCTAGATTTTCCAACATATATCAAAACATACTTATTATGAATAAAACTAATACGGGTAGAAACAAAACAGTGCAATTCAAATTGCAATTGCATCTTGGGAAGTAAAGAAGCTGTTAGACACAAAGAAGAGGTAGGTGCAACATCTTTAGCTCTAGTTATATCATTGTATGAGAATTAAGAGGCAAATGAGGAGGTAAAATAGGAATAGTAAGACTGATACCAACTGGAGAGGAAGAAAAAGGAACAGAGGAAGAAGAGGACATGATCGTTAGCAAGAGGACTAGGATTAGGAGAAACAGAAACATGACTAAGAGAAGAAACATCAACATTATCTACTCCCTCCAAATTCAAACTTAATAATGTATGGCATGTTCCACAAATTTCATCTATTTTGCTTTATGTTCAACTCACATCAGATAATGCTTCCACCATTACATTTATTGATAAATCATTTGTTATTTAGGACAAACACAGCAACCAAGTTCTATGTAAAGGTCATCAGCAGAACGGTCTCTATCAGTTTCCTTCCCTCTCATTTTGATCACTATTCAAAGGTTTTTTCTAGTATTAGTTCTCCAGCTGCCACTTGGCATAAAAGACTAGGGCATCCTTCTTCAAATGTTTTTCATCATATAGCTAAAACTTGTGGTTTTTCCATTTCTCATAAAGACTGTTCTTCTTTTTGCAGTCATTGTTGTGTCTCAAAGAGTCACAAACATCCTTTTGTATTGACTAATACTAATTTCAATGTTCCTCTTACTTTAATTCACTCTGATACCATGAAGAAAATAGAGAGAGAGAGAGAGAGCAAAAAGGATATTTTCTATTATTTCATTATGAACTCAACTACACATAGAAGTCTTTGATCAATGTATACATGGAAACAAAACAAAGTATCTCTAGATTAGTTATAGATTCTAACTAACTAAGTTTGTTATAGAGGAGAGGATTGTGTATTACTATCCTACATCCTTATGATAGTTTTATAGGTGTGTTATAGTTGTCATTGTTGCTTTGTCTTCAGTAGCCTTAGTTGTGGTTATGGTTCCTGAGGTGATAGTATCTAGGAGCCAGGTGTGGGGACATAATTTTCGACATGTCCGCGTGGCATGACCTTGGCCTGAAGTGCCACATGGTGGCATGTGATTGGCCGAGGTATGAAAATGATCCATGTCTAGGCTAAGGTATTTGGTGAAAGACAAAAATCCTAGTGAATGAATGACTCCTAGGTTGGGTGTATTTAGGACTCTTTTGAGAGGTTAACCGTAACCTAACTGGGAGAGATGAATCATCTAGTATTATTTCTAAAAGGAATAAGTGTTTGACTTGATCACTACTTCTAGGAGGACATCTTTATATAAGCACCCCCATGTGTGAGAGGTATGTGAGTTTATGTGTGTCAATTTGAGAGGTATGTGAGTTTATGTGTGTTAATTTGAGTTACCGTTAATTTGTCGAAATATCATGGGATATTAATTTACTAACTTTATCATTGAAGTGCCCTCTCGGTTGACAAGCAATCGAGTTAGGGGTTGTTTGGTTTTCATTTTTGGCTAAATAATCACAAAAGGACAAAAAAAGGTTAAAAAATCACAAAAAGTCAAAATCACAAAAGGACAAAAAAAAATCCACCGTTTCAAAGCTAAAAAGTCAAAAAAAAAGTCAATCAAGAATACTAAACGAACAAAAAAGTCTCAGGCTAAAAAAGCCAAAAAAGTCAAAAAGTCAACTAAAAAAGTCATTGCCAAACGAAGGCTTAGTTATTCTTCTAATTGTGTAGACGTGGATCTATATAGGCTGCGTGTTCTACAGCTGTGTTCCCAGAATTCTAGGAGGAAGTTCAGATATTGGTTGTGTGGTAAACTTTTAGCACACACATACTCGATACACTTTATTTTTTGATAATTTTTTGAATTACTTTTATATACTTATTAGATCACATGAATATTGTTACTCAATACATTATATATATAACATATTCCAAAAAAAATTACAAAAATTAAAATTGAAAATGAAATTTGAAAAAACATAAAATGCCATATGCTTAGTTAAATTAAAAAATGAAAAAAAATAATGAAAATGGAGTGAAAGAAACCATATTTTGTTCTAGTTAGGTTAAGAACATTAAAAAAAAAAATGAATTAGATAATAGTACAAAAATAACCATTTTTGTTTAATTAATTTAATTTTGCTTTCCCTGTAAACATTATCCAAATGTAGCATAAATATTAGGAAAATGCTATGGATCCCAAATAAATTACCAAATTTTCTACCAAACCTCTCACATGGATGTGAGAACCACACAAATCACATGTGTGGATCCCACACCCATGTAAGAGGTTTGGTAAAAAAAATTGGTAATTTATTTGGGGTCCCTAACAAAACTCTAAATATTATTAAAAATTTTAATATCAATTTTTTTATGCAATTATCTTAAATATATGTAAATAATATATATATATATATATATAAAACTTATAAGGATAAATTACAGTCACCTTGATTGAGGTTCTTGACAATCACACTGATCTCCCCTTCTTTTTCTAAAATTACACTGACTTTCCCTGTGATTAACGGCGTTAATGGGAGGGTTAGTTTAGTAATTTTAACATTAGAGATATTTTTTTTAATAAACATTAAATATACCATTATTATTTTGGTTATACCTTGTGTTGTGTTTGGTTATGAGTCATTTTTTTTAGTTATGACTGAAAAAAATTTAGTTATAATATTTGTGGTAATCAACACCACAAATGTTATAACTTGCATATGTTACATATAAAATGGTATGCATTTTAGAAGAGCAGTGCTGGGTAGCCCGAGAAGGAGGTTGGCTCGAATGGCTCAAAATTCACCTTTCCGGTCGTCCGGGTGGACGTCCGGCCGGTCGTCCGACGAGAAGGTTGACAGCCGCAGTCAACAAAGGTAACCGCGGTAGATAAGTTTTCACCCGGTCATCCAGGCGAACGTCCAGCACACACCCATTCGAGCCCCTCCTTTTCGGGCTCTCAAGCATTTTTGATTTTAGAATAACCTATTGTCACAACAAAAGTGATGATGAAACAAATTCAAAAATTAATTATATAAATATAAGAGAAGTTATTTGGTAGTTTTTAATCAATACTTGACATCATACAATTTAGTTGTCTTAAAAAAAATAAGATAAAATTGATGAGTCTTACTATCTTCTTCTTCATTTTTTTTTTTTTTTTTTTTTGATGAGTCTTACTATCTTCTTCTTCATTTATTTATTTATTTTGATGACATGAGTCTTACTATCTAAATTAATAAAAATAAAATTGGGACAACACTTGTATTTATTTGAATAGTATTAAATAATATTTTTAAATACTCACATGGTTTAACTATAAATATATATATATATATATATAATTTATTGCATTACATACATACAAGTTCTTGTATTTTTCATTTGGCTTCAATAATTCATATTAATTTGTTTGCCTAAAAAATAATTAATTGATTTATTTTATTTTTAATTTATAGATAATCACTTCAAATGTTATACAAAATCAAACTAAAACCCCCCTACGTGATAATCTAACAACTAATCACTGACTTTCACAAAAACAAATAAATAAATTAAAAAAAATAACAATTAGTCAAACTAACAGTCAACTAATGGAAAGGGGGAATATGCAAATAAAAAATAAACCTCAAGGGAGGTCAGTGTAATTTCTAAAAAAAATAGGAGGCCAATATAATTGTCAGAAATCTCAAGGGAGGTGTGTAATTTACCCACCTTATAATAGTTATTGTTTTCACTTATTTTTCAAATAAAATTTTTATTTATAAACAATGAATTGAAAATACAAAATTCATAAATTTTTAAGTAGATTACAAAATTACCATTTAAGTAAATTTTAAATACACGTAATTTTCTAATACTAACTATAAGTTGAATGGTTCAACAAGTCTAAGACCGGTCTTAGCAGTTCAATTCAAAGATATTAAGGTCAAATTAGAATTTTTATCTATTTTTATCCATGATACAAACATTGGCTAACAAAATGATTTATATCAACCAAAAAAAACTCTATACGTTTAGACAATATTTATAGGTTTATATTTTTAATTGTGTATAGATTGATTTCTCTTATATATATAATTAATTATAGCTAAAATATTTAAATTAATTAATTTTCAAACTAAAAAGTAAAAAATGTTGGTTTATATTGCTGGATAGGACAAAGAAAAGATATTAAATGGACTTGGGTCAAGATAAGATGGTACAAATGTTGTAATATTCAGTTTGTGAATATCTAAACTTGCGTCCAGCCTTAGGTTCATATTTTAAGAGAATTGCGTATCAGTGAGGTAAATTAAAAAAATTTGCACTATATATTCGTATTGTTTGGATGAAAGTCTAACACATAAAAGACTTGCATCAAACACAAGAAATAACTTGCACCAAACATAAGACATACTTGACCCCAATAAAAATGACATTTTTTTTTAGCCATTTTGTAATTGATTTGATTTTTTTCCTCATATTTTTAATAGTTGACCTAACCATTCCATGTTTTTATAATCCATTCAATGAGATTATGTACAAGGGCTTCGTTTAGTTAATGAGGATAAAGATCATAGAACATGGCTGGTATAGATTCTAACAAAGTTCACTTAGAGGTTGATTGTAGGATTGAAAATTGTAAGGGTAATTGGGGGAAGGGGAATAAAAAAATGTGTATAGGAAGGGAACTAAAACACGAGTTGATAGTGGTTAACAAGAGCAGTGAAATGATTTAGAGGTGGAGCTTGATGCGGGTTAGAGATGACTTCATTTTGGATGGCTTGGGAAAAGGGGTTAATGCTTACTCTTTCTATAAAATAAAAAAATTATTTCATTCTCCAATTCATTTTCAATTTTAACAAATTTTAAATGAATTTTATTATGTAATTGTAAATTAAAAATTTTCGTTGTTATGTCATTTGAGAAAATCTAATATAAAAGTACATATTATTTATCTTGTATGCTAAATGTAATTTTTATAATTCATTCAATGTTTTTGCTCTAAAATATTACTAACCCACGTAATGACACACACACACACACACACACATATATATCTATTAGTTAATATTTAAAATAAAATATTAATAACAACACAATTAAAACACCACTTTAGTGCAATTTAAATGAAAACAATTCATTCACATAATTTTTACTATTTTTTCTTTTTAAATTTTAGAATTATTACTTTAATTTGTAAGATAAAATTTTAATTATTTGTTTAAGACCATGCATAGAGTTTTAGGTTAGTTTATATATACACAAGATAGATTACTTTTATTTTATGTAGGGTTGAATTCAAAATCAGAAAAGAAAAAATTAAACATAAATATAAAAAACAACATACCTCTAGAAGTTGCATCATTACACTTTACTCAAGGGCCCCCACGTTTGATTCCTCTAATCAGCACTTTCAACCAATTATTTCCAATGCTCTCTTGCTCTTCCTTAATTTGCCTGACAGATTCCTCAACAGAGAAATGACAAAAGTTTACCTCAATCAGCTGCAGAGTGAGTATATCCCCCAAACTAGATGGTATTTCCCTGAGATATTGACACCGTTCCAACGATAAGTGTTGAAGGCTTGGAAAGGGACCAGAGCAGGTGATCCATCGCTCAACATCAAGTTCCTTCAGTTTCAAGAATTTGAGTCGAGGAAACCCACCATCAGTTGTTTCCCATTGCTGTCCCCAGGCAGCATCATTTTCTAATTTGAGAAGCTCAAGGTTGGGTAACATCATCCCAAGGACTGATATCTCCTCCCACTCTATCCCTGTATATTTCAAGGTTAGCCTTTTAATATTTGCAGGAAAATTGACCTCTCTGACAGTAGTTGTGTATCTGGGGAAAAAACTGTTGCATAGCTTCAGAGTCTCAAGGTGTCTTAAAACTTCTAGGTTAAGAAACATCCAATTCCCCGAATCTGAAAACAGTTGTCCACAAATTCCCAGCTCTGTAAGAAAAGGAGTTCTTGCCAATAAATCCTGAATAAATCCATAACAGTTTAAGTTAGTGATGGTTCGTAGGTTTTCTAATATGGAGGGATGGTTGTGATCATTCACCAAAAAAAAGGGATAGTTGGGATCTGTTACTTCTTCTTCAGAACATAAAAACACGTCAACTTTTGCACCTCCTTTAGCATAAAGATGCCTCAACTTTGGAATCTTCCAAACATTACATGGAAGAATAACCTCACCCCGTTGTGTAGAAATAACAAGTGTTTCTAGGTTTGAGAGATTGGATATTGATGGCGGTAATCCACAAGAACTTTTCAAATTAATTGCCAAATACCTCAAATAAACTAGTTGTGTTAATTCTCTTGAAATGAAGGCATTGATGTACCATATGTTCAACACTCTAAGAAGTTTGAAGTTGCAACAAATAAACGAGAACACATCATCAAACGGACTGTCACCGTAACTAATTTCTCTCCCAGACTTAATTCTGAAGCACAATAATGATTGAACAACTACTGGGGAATAAGACTCTAAGAGAACATGATCACATTTTTCCAAGAAGTCAAAGTCGATACACAGGTGACATTGGTTGTTTGCTTTGTAATTACTTGAAGGAGGAGGATAAGAATCTTCATAATTGTGAATCCACTTTAGGAAATTAATTTCTCTGGCTTTCTTCAAGCATAAATCACGCAACAAATCATGCATACGACATGCTTTAATTCGACCATCAAACCTTTTTTGAGCAACAATTACCAGACTTCTTTGAATGAGATCCATTAAGTAACCCTCCGCTACTTCCTCCAAGCTTTTCTGCTCAATTTTTTGTATAAACCCCTCAGCTATCCATAACCAAATTAATCTCTCAACCGAGATTTCTTGATCTTCTGGAAATGCTCCTAAATAGAGAAAGCATGGTTTCAAGTGGCGAGGCAAGTGGTTGTAACTCAGTGCTAGTGTGTCCAAGTACTGGTTTGGATCACTAACAATGTATGAGCTTACACTTTGGGCAACTTTTTTCCACGACTTTTGTGTCTTGATGTTCTTTGCAAGAAGTCCTGCAATTACAACAATTGCAAGTGGAAGCCCTCCACATCTTTTCGTTATTTGCTTCCCAATTTCAATCAGTTCTGGAGGGCAACGTCCATTTTGAAACACCTTCCGTTGTAACAACTCCCAACTCTCTTCTTCAGTGAGAGGACGCAGACAATGATGATGGCAATCAGGTGAGGCATGCATAGCCACCTCTTTGAGGCGACTAGTAAACATAACTCTACTTCCATTGTTGTCATTGGGGAAATACATTTTAAGATTGACCCAGGCACCAATATCCCATAAATCATCAATGACAATGAGATACCTCTGGCCTTTTAATTGCTTGTACAACTTTTCGCCTAGCTTCTCATTGGTCATGTTTGTAATTTCATCGGTAAAGACGACATTAACAGAACGTAAAATATCCAACAACATATCTGTTTTTCTGGGCAATTGAGAAGCATAGGTCCATGCACGAATATGAAAGTAGTGTATGATGTAAGGATCATTGTACAGTTTTGTGGCTAAAGTAGTCTTACCGAGTCCAGGCATCCCAACAATTGATATCATTTGTAGCTGCTGCTTCCCTCCGGCAAGTCGCTCTTTTATAGTCAACGCATCATCCTCAAAGCCCACTGTAATTTCTTCATCTACCATGGTTCTGTTCCCCATTGACATTGGCATTGGCATTGACATTGGCTTTGACAAATTCATCATTTGTTGCAGCTTGTTCCCTCCAGCAATAAGTCGCTCTTTTATCATTTGTAGCCGCCTCTTCCCTCGAGCAATAAGTCGCTCTTTTATAGTCAACGCCTCATTATCAAAGCCGACCATAATTTCTTCCTCTACCGTGGTTCTGTTCTCCATTAACATTGACGGTTGGACTCCATCATTGAAAGACTTATCATCTTGTAGGAGTTGGATCTGATTCATCTGGTCATAAAACTGCAGCACTTTTGCCTCGATCGTCTTAATCTCTTCCATTATAGTTGTGCCAATTAAAATATCAAAAAAACTGTTACCGTTGTTGCTGCTGTCCCTCTGCCCTGGAACTTCAACATCAAAAGAACGGATGAGTTGTCTTGTCTTGCAGATCACATGATCAATTTGCATCGGCAGGTTTTTAACTTCATGGCTCAGCTCATGCTGCTGCTGCTTCTCGTCCATATCCTTGAGAATGATTGCTAGGAATCTTAGCCGATGGTAAAAAGAGTCGATATGATCTATCTGATCTGCGGTCAAATTGCACGCCTTACTGATCATTAGATGCTTCAGTTTCTGCAAGACAGAATAATTTTCACCCATCTCCCTCCCCAATTCCCCTCTCTGTTTCCATCTCTTTATCTTTCTCTCTCTTTTTCTTTCTCTTTCGCTTTCGCTTTCCTCTGTCTCATACTCATCCATTTTTTTGATCAGCAAACACTCAATTGTTTACTGCTTCCATAGCCCCATTTCGGTGCTATGCTATCTCTCTCAAGTTTTGCGTTCTGAAGACGGGGTTCGATCAGAAAAGACTTTGTGGCATCCAAAATGTTGACTCTGCTAAAATTTAAGCAAATTACATTTACGTCCTCGAACAATTTGCTTAAATTGCAACTGGCCGATTAGTTTGACAAAATATAACACTGGCTTCCACCGATGTCCTCAAAAGTTAACTCAGTTAACGAGAGAGAGTCATGAAATAACAAAATTACTTTTACCCCCATCACGCTTCCACACTTCATCTCCCTATCTTTATGCACCACCACTTTCACAACTACCACTACTCTTCGGGAAAATTTCATTTCTACGCATCTAATTAGCAAGACAGGCACTTAATAAAATATATTGAAAAAAAAAAAAAATCACACTAAGGCCTACATTGTTCTTCTATTATTTTTCACTATCATCATTGTTACACTTTATTTTACTCCTGTCTTTTTTTATACATTGTTCTTCTATTGTTTTTCACTCTCATCATTGTTGCACTCTATTTTACTCCTGTCATTTTTTATTTGTGTGATAAAAGATATACAAAATCATAGAATTTTAAATTTAGAGACGAATATGACTTTACAATCAATGCAACGATTACTACAACATATAAGAGTTTTAGACACTAAATATTTTGGTCTCTAAAAGTGAAATTTTTGTTACAAAAAATATTTAGGAATCAATTTCTATTGTCATGAGGATAGTCGCTAAAAAGTAGTTCCGAAAAGTCAAAAACAAGGCTGTTAGCGACAAAATTTTGAAAATGTCACTAATAAATAGACTTATAGGAACAAAATAATTTGGTCCCAAAAGGATAATAATTCATCACTAATGTTTAATTTTCGTTGCTAAAAATATAATAACCACACTTTTCGTAACAAAAATATTTGGTCTCTAAAAAATAATTTTGTTCCTAAACTTTGGTCTCTAAAACCTTAATTTTTTTTGGAGTGGATGAAAATGTGATCTTTTATGTATGGAAGTGGTTTTTTATTTTTTTATTTTTTGCGAGCAAAGAACTGTTATTATCTTGTAAATTCAACTTCCATAGGATTGCGAAAAAAAATAATGATGAAAACTTTTCATATAATTTGTTTTAAGATTTTTTTGATTGCGATGAAAACTTACTATCATCGTTAATCGCGAACCAAAAAAAAAGTTTTAATCAATCTTTTCATCATTTCATTACTAATTGGCTCTAAAGAACTGTTGAAAATGTGTTGGTGGATATGCCGAAGTTACTACTATGATGTGTGTAAATGTGTTTTGTATGGTGTGTGTTTAAATTATGAGTTAGGGATATATTTAGAACATTTGATGTGTGGAATCAGAAAAACATAATGTAACTAAATTAATAAGTGTGTGAATTAAGAAATGATGTGCACAAAGTGTAAATGGTGTGTGAAAATAGAATTACCCATGAAATATGAATTTAATGACAATTATATCCTAAATAAAAATGACTAATAGACATCTGGCAACACTCATAATATTATATGTACGGGGAGCAAATATTCCAGCAAGCCCGTACTCCTTTCTTCCGTGCTCCGTTTATGCCCGATCACCTGCGCGCAAACAATGGTGAGCTACCCGGCGGTGCGTGGCCGGAAAAACCCTCCGACGATCAAGTTAGCACACACCTTAGGATAGAGAGAGAGAGGAGTCTTTGAGTGAAAGAATTTCCTTACCAAATGTTCGTGTGTCCGCGTATGGGGGGCGCAGACATGCTTATATACCCTCTGCGCCCCATATCCACTCCCAGTCATCTCCTAACACGTGGCTCCGCTATCCCATCTATCAGCATAAACCTTGCTGAACACCACCTAACCCAACTGCCAGCCCACTCTACTGGGAGCTCGGCAGCCGGGCTGCAGCTTCTCGGCTGCCAACAGCCATACTGCACTTCAAGACCAAGTGCTTCCAATAACCGAGCTTCGTTTCAGCCATGCTCGACCGTATTCCGGCGACACCGAGCACGGGATTGGTCATTCCGGTCAACCAAAGGCCTTCCTGCCGAGCTTCAGGCACGAATCTTCACGCCGAGCTATCGATGCGTGCCTTCCGACCGAGCAACGCACGAACCATGAAGCCCTTCTAGGCCGCGGACGTCTCAGCCGAGCTCTCACTTGACCGGCCTTCATACCAAAGAGCCCAAGTAGCTCGGCTCCGCAGGCCCTTTGCCATTACTGAGCAAAACCACGGCACAATCTTGAAGCCAAATACCTCGGCGCAATCTTGTTTGGCCAAAACTAGATCATAAATCTCCCTCTCAATTGCCCCTTAATTCTGTCCGCGCTAGCGTGACTGGGATTACATTACAAGGTCCGCTCGGCGACTTCCCTCTTGGCGAGAAAGATCAGCTCGGCCAAGAAACTCCAAAGAAGGCGAGCAAGGTCCGCTCCGCCACTTCCTTCTTGGCGGGCAAGATCAGCTCGGCCAAGGAACTCCAAAGAAGGGGAGCAAGGTCCGCTCCGCGACTTCCTTCTTGGCGGACAAGATCAGCTCGGCCAAGGAACTCCAAAGAAGGCGAGCTACGTCCGCTCCGCCACTTCTTTTTTGGCAAGCAACATTAGCTCGGCTGAAACTTCGGAGTTAAACAAATCATCAACTCGCCAGCCAGAGTAAAACATCTCGGCTGGAACCTCGCAGTTGAGCAAATCATCAACTCTTCAGCCGAAGTAAATCATCTCAGCTGGACCCTCGGAGTTGAGCAAATCATCAACCCGTCAGCCAGAGTAAAACATCTCGACTGGAACCTCGTAGTTGAACAAATCATCAACTCGCCAGCCGGAGTAAAACATCTCGGCTGGAACCTCGGAGTTGAACAAATCATCCACTCGCCAGCCGGAGTAAAACATCTCGGCTAGAACCTCGGAGTTGAACAAATCATCAACTCGCCAGCCGGAGTAAATCATCTCGGCTGGAACCTCGGAGTTGAACAAATCATCAACTCGCCAGCCGGAGTAAAACATCTCGGCTGGAACCTCGGAGTTGAACAAATCATCAACTCTTCAGCCGGAGTAAATCATCTCGGCTGGACCCTCGGAGTTGAGCAAATCATCAACCCGTCAGCCGGAGTAAATCATCTCGGCTGGAACCTTACAGTTGAGCAAATCATCAACTCTTCAGCCAGAGTAAATCATCTCGACTGGAACAGTTGAGTAGGCCCCTCATCCACTATTATTTCGGACACAACAAAGCTCTTCAGCAAAAGTAATTCACTTATATTACATTGACAAAAAGAGTATTTGCATTCAGAAGTGTAGGGAAAACAAGTCCCTCAAAAAATTACATAAGGCCGCATTCCATGGCCGGGGTACGCCTTTGCCATCCAAATCTTCTAAGTGGTATGCCCCCTTGCCCGGTTATCTTGGAAGGCTCTTCCTAGTTTGCCCCTAGCTTGCCTTCACCCGGCACTAGTGCGTTGCCCATGACCTTCCTTAAAACCCAGTCGCCCACTTGCCCGTGGCTATCGAGGTTGTCTCCGCGGTGGACGTCGCTGCATCGTCCTCTACTCGGATGTACTCATTGATGCGCTGCATTAGGTGCCGCATGGATGTCTGCTGGCTCATTGTAAGCGAATCCCTCAGTCTATGTCCGAGCGGGAGACCGCGCTTATATTGGGTGATTGCCAGTTTGACTGGGCAATCTAGGATCTCATTGAAGGTATCCCAGTACCTGGAGTTGTACGCCTTGAGAGTGTCGCTCGGTTCCATCCTGACACTGAGAAGGTGGTCAACTTCCTTTGGCGTTTTGGTGTTGGTTTTGAAACGCGTCACAAAGGCTTCGGCCAACTGATTCCACTGTTGTATACTCCCTTCTGGCAACCTCTCGAACCACTTCAAGCCCAGCTCACCTAAACTTGACGGGAAGATCAGGCACATAAGTCCGTCATTTCGCTTATGTCCGGCCATAACCTATCGGAAGTGGCTCACATGCATGTAAGGATCGGTTTTTCCGTCGTAGAGTGTGAACTTAGGCTGGTGGAAGCCTGCCGGAAGCAGTGTTGTCTCTATTTCCAGGGAAAAAGGGGTGGCACTTAACCTGGCCAAATCTGAATCCACTAGGAGTGGCGTTGCCTGGCGGGGTGGAGGCATTCCGACCTCCTCGCTGGCGTGAACCCCGTAGGATAACCGCTGGAACGACGGTATCCTCTAGGCTTCGCGCCGGCAAGCCCACTCCTTCAAGACCGCCCGCAAATCCTCCGAATGAACGGAGTAAGAGTACCTCGATGTCGTCACCGGACGCGAGGGCCGGTAAGTGCTGTCTTGTGCGCTAGACTTCTCTGCATGCAGGTCAGAATCACCAACCTAGTAACTTCTGGTGATAGAAATGGATGGAGTGCGTCGCTGACTCTGTCCGCCTGAACGGCGGGATGGGGTGCGCTCACTGTGGTCACCCACTCCAGCTACACCTTTCCCTTTGACATGCCGTTTGAGCTCCTCCATCTCCGCTGCCATTCGCCGGATGACAGCGTCTTGGTCCCTCAACTTGTGTTCCAGACGTCGGACATGTGATTCTCTCCGCCGCCGATGACCGTCCGGACTTCGTGAATGACCATAACTTCTTCCGCGCTTATCCCGCGCGTCTCCTGACTGTCCTCCAGTGGGCGTCTCCAAGTCCGCCATTGGATAGATGGCGGGAGGTCCCTCTCTCCTTCGGGTATACTCCGGGGTGGCTCCGTCTATGGCAGACAACGGAAACTCATCGTTGTTCGCCATGGACGGCGATCAGATGAACCTGGAAGACAAGGTTTTGTCTGTCAAGTTTCCCACAGACGGCGCCAATTGACCGGGGAGCAAATATTCCGGCAAGCCCGTACTCCTCAGTGTCTTCTCGTGCTTTCCGCTTTTTTGCCCGATCACCTGCGCGCAACAATGGTAGAGCTACCCGGCAGGTGTGTCGGCCGGAAAAACCCTCCGACGATCAAAGTTTACACACACCTTAGGGATAGTAAAGGAGAGAAGAGGGAGTCTTTTGAGTGTAAGAATTTACCTTACCAAATGTTCGTGTGTCCGGTTTGGGGGCGCAGACATGCTTATATACCCTCTGCGCCCCAT